AGTTTCCCAATTCCCGAGCCTAGCTTGTCACAATGACTGGGTGACCACAAATTTGGGTCGTATCTAATTTTCGGAATCTTGGTAATACGGAATACATAGAACACGAAACTAGAGTTATCATTATGAGGTTCCTCCAAATTATTTTTTATCCGATGTAAATAAGTATATTAAGTGAATAATACATCACATAGGGATGATGTTAATATCACAATTCTTGAGCTGTCGCGTTGCCGAGTGCTTTAGGCGTCTGGCAGCCAACGACCACTAGCCCTCCACCCACTGGGTCGCGGTTCGAGACCCAAATGGGGCAGTCACTAGGTGCTTTCCGCAAGTAGGTGTTTTTTCTCCCGGTACTCCGGTTTTCCTGCACCATCAAAACCTTGGTTGTCTTTAAATGCTTATAGTTGTTATTACTGAGTTCTGAAGTAACGCACAAACAAACTAAACGAATCCTGAACTGTTCAATACGAAATGTACAGTGCATATAATAAAATATCCCTTATGAAAATGTACCTTCATTTGAAAGAACCAACACTGTTTCCTACAGTTTAAGGCGGGTTTTTTTTCATTTCAATGATTAATTTTATTAATAATTTGATACACATACATTTGTTGCAATCAGCGTCATATATTTGGTTTAAACATATTATATTGTCAAGCATATGGATTGGGCATAAGTTATAAACCTTATAGTAAGCCCTTTCCCAGCAAATTACTAGCATATATTTACAATAGTACAAGATGGCGTCATACATCCATAGTTATATTATATAGTGAGTGTATGTCTGGGCCAACAAGGGAAAATAATATAAGTTCTGCGCGCTAACATCCGGGCCAACAAGAGTGATTAATATAAGTTGACATAACTTGTTTCAAAATTGTTGTAAAAAAAAATAAAGCTTATATTTTGATGAGAAACTATGTATGAATAGCGCGACAACATGGCGACATTTTCCCGCTCTGGTATCACAATAAATAACGGGAATGCAACGTGAATAACAGACCTCACGCGCCGATGCTGTCGTATTTCAATCAACATTGTCATGGATTATTGTGACACATTCCGTGCAAACATTGCGACAAAATAGGAAATTATTCCGTTATGGTGATTTTCGATATTTGTTGCACATACCTTCGGTGTTATTGCTTTTTTACAAAAAATACAACATTTCGACTATTTAAAACCAGGAATGAAAAACAAAACTGATTGACATGTGTTACACAATACCCTGTTGTTATACATGTTTGTAAATATTACGTAATATTGAAAAAAGCCTATATAAGCTATACCGGTATCATACTGGGACTATAATATCACTGTTAGACGATCAACACAGGACAGACCATAGGAAAGGCCCTGCCTTTAGGTATGTACGGGTTTTATTTCATTTCAGTTTGATTTTTGTTTTTATTTCAGATGGAAAATTGTTTCACTGAATATAGGTGAAAATTGATGTATTGTTTTACTGAGTATCGTGAAAACTGCCTTATTTTTATTTCTATGAAGTTGTTGTTTAAGGAATGAATGTTTTGGCAAATGTTGTTATGATTGTTTTCCACGTATTACGTGTCCATTATCTTAAAGATACGTTCCAATGTTTCATTTTTTAAGCTTTCATGTTGTTTTTCCATTCTCAACATTTTTCAATATTTCACAAGTACCAGCATAGAAAATAAAACCAAAGGTTAAAGTATGTTTGAAAAAATGATGTTAATATAACTGTTTTGACTTAACATGAGCCCACACATATATGTAGCTGTGAACATTTGACCAGAAAAAAGTTGTAAACAGCGAATAGTATCGCATGGAGAAAAAACAACCACGTGGTCTGATATATATTTTCTTATACTTACTGTTTTGTTGCAGTACTTATCCAATAATCTTGAAAAATCGGACTCTCTAACCCCCTCTTCCCTCTCTCTCCTCCCCCTCTTTCCCCCCCCCCCCCCATTTCTT